AGGCCTGCACCTCCCCTTGCCCTCATCCTTAACCCCAGCCATGTCCCGCTGTCCAGCCGTATGGATTCGAGCAGATGGAAAAACAGCCAGTGTTTCCCAGGCAGGCAAGATGGGATTTCAGGACCTGAGGATTTGCAGAGCTGGCTGCAGGTTGGGATGGCTGTGGGAGCTGCAGCATTCCCTGACACTGCAGCTGGGCAGGGGGTGCATCACCTGGGAGTGGTGGGGGCAGCAGGGCTGGATGTTTAGCCCTGGGGTCCTGTCACTGTCACAGGATGTGGGCGCTGGAGCAGGGCCAGGTGCTGGAGCTGGAACAGACATGGAGGCAGCCAGACCGGAATGCTCAGTCCCCTCATTGTGTCATGGAGTTGGGGACCAACAGTGTGCTCAGTGCAGCCTCCAAAAGGATCTTTCCCAGGAGCTCCCTGATCACATTTATCAGGAGTTTGAGGGTGCTTAAGCACAAGCCTGTCACTCTGCAGAGGCCACCTGGCCCCAGCAGTGATGAACGCTGCACGTGGCCCTTTTCCCTCCTCCCATGCCCGTGGCATCCACACGTGGCTCAGGGGGACAGGGATGAGCCAGCATCTCTCCAGGCACCCCGTCACCTCCGGTCTTCCCACCGAGGGCCTTCCTTTTCCCACGTGCCTCAGTTTCCCTTCTGCATTTGCCATCAAGGCTGGCAGACAGCGATTTCTGAGCTGCTCACTGGCATTAGGGGGTTGTGTGTGGGGGTCCAGCAGAAGGCTGTGTGCCCATGGCTGTTTTCTACCTGTGTCCCTGCCAAAACAGAGCAGGTTTTTCTCATTAGGGATGCACTGTGGTAGCAGCCTCTTGCCTGTCCTCCCTGGCAGTGGAGGGGAAACAGGGAGCCGTCTATTCTCCAGATACATTGTGAGATATACTGGCCCTGCCTCGTGCTGACCCTTAATTTATTGGAAGTGCTCAAAGACAGGGCGTCAGAGGACGGAGTTATTCAGGCACTGGTGCTGCCCCAGCACAGCTCGGGGAGCCCCCAGCTCTGCTGCTCTCCCCTCGCCTTGTGGGTGCTCAGTGCCGGGTCACTTTGTTGGGACGGGATGAGCAGGAGGGACTTGGACACCCTTGGCTGAGAGGTCTGAGGTCGGGAGCAGAGCTCCCTCCTCGCCGCTGACATTGCTGTCCTGCCGCTGGGCCATGAAGGGCATCTCTGCAGGAGATAGCAGCGCTATCTCCCGGCGCAGGGCAGTGTTACTCCCGGCACAGGGCAGGCAGCAGCTCCGAGTGTGACCTCCTCACACCGACCCCTCCCACACGGTCACCTCTCCAGACCTGCGTCCCCAAACTCAGCTCCTCCAAGTCCCCGCCGGGCCGATTCCACCTGAACACAGCCTGTTTGCCTGCACAATTCCATGAGAAAATCAGTGCTGGGAGGATGCAAGAGTAGGGGGGCAGCCCTGATGGCTCCAAAAAGCATCCCCTCCAGAGGTACAGGGAAAGGTGTGATGATAAATCGCATTGACACATTCAGCCGGCTCTAAGTAATGACTTCCCTGGCACCCGACACATTTTCCCAGCGTGCTGGCTGTTCCTAATATTGTTGTAACATTTAACATCCCCTTTTAAAAAAAAAAATAAAATAAATAAAATTAAACTGTGCAGTTGGCAGATTGTTGGAGACACTTGGATTCTCTGCGGGAAACCGCTCCGCGGTGGGAGTCGGGTTGCTGCAGTTTCGTGGCAGGAGTTGTTGCCTCTTGTGTCAGCTCATTAGCTGGGGCAGTCCGTGGCGTCACTGCCTTTGGAGCCACGGGGAGCCAGGGGCCGTTCATTCCCGAAACTAATGTTATGAGCCTGTTTTGTTTCCGGCGTGTTAACACTATTAGAGCTGCACAGGACACGTGGCACGAGCAGCAGGGGATGGTCCCGGTCCTGCCCGGCACCCAGCATGGGCTTGTCCGCACTGAAGCTGGGCTGGGAATGGGATTAATGGGCAGTGATTATGAGGGGAAGTTTTGGGTTTGTTCCTGTGAGGTAAAACTTTGATGGTCAGGGGTGTGAAACTCCTGGGAAGGAGGCAGGGAGGGGGATGTTACCCCCCTGTAACACCTCCACCAGCCCCCTGGGGCAGTGCTGGTTGTGGGGAGGTGCCAGGGTGATGCTGGAGGATGCACTCCTGACCCAAGGAGATGTAAGGTGACCATGGGGACATGGTCGCCAGCTGGTCCCTCATCAGAGCCTGTCCATCCATGAGTTTCCAAGTGCATGAGCCCTCTCCCGGCCCGAGCCTCCCACAGTGGCAGCGTGGGGCTCCAGCCTTCAAATTTAAACCAAACCAGAAATTCGGCTTCCAGCAAACTCGAGAAAGTGTATTTCCAAACAAAACTGTGCTAAATAAAGCACGAGCCGCAGGCGGCCTCCTGCTCCGGCAGATCCACTTTGCTGCCTTTATTTAGCTGCTGTCTCCCCATGGTGCCCCTGCTGGCCCGGGATGGGGGGAGTGGTTGGTCCTCCCAGGAGCTCTGGTTCTTCGGGAAGGACTCAGTCCCCTGGCCTTGGGGAACAATGGGGACATGGGCTTTGTCACAAGAGCTGCCCTGTACCCAAAACAATGTCAGACCCTTAGGTCTGTCCTGGCATTGTCCTGCAGCAGAGGGGTCCCTGAAACCCTCTGTGACATGGGAGGAGGGGGAGGAAAGGGAAGGAGGGAAGGAAGGAAGGAAGGAAAAAAAAAGAAGGAAGAAAGGAAGAGAGAGAGAAAGCAAAAATGGAGGAAAGGAAGAAGGGATGGGGAAAAGGGTGCAGGCAGGGGGGAGCAGTAGTGGTGACTGGGGAGCAAGAGGGTCCCTGGGAACCTCACCCCAGGTAAAGGCAGGGCTGCTGCCTCCTCAGTCACCCGGGCACATCTCCCCTTCCAGCACAGTTAATCCAGACCCCAGCTAATCCTCTCGCAGGTCACTGGGAGCTCACTGCATTTTGTTGACTTCTCAAATGCATCTAGAATTAATTAAAAAAAAACAACTCTAAATTCATCCTGTGGCAAAAGCACTCAGCACGTTCCATGGGGCGAGCTGGAGGGGTGACAGAGGAGCAGCCTCTTCTGGTCCCACATACTCAGCTCTCATTAAAAAAAAGAGGAGAGAAATTATTGGATGTAGTCAGGATGATCAGGAGGAAGATTTGGGATGAGAGACCAGGTTGGAGTTGGGCAGTATGAACCTGCAGCTGGCCTGACAGATCAGATCTGAAAGGCCACTTTGGTCCCATATGACTTCTATTGACTATAGGGTTGTAAATATTGCCCATTAACATTAACTGTTTGTGCCTTTTTTATTATTTCCCGTGTCTCTAAGGAGGGAAAGGCTCTCATGCTTATGGCCCCAGTCATGTGCAAGCAATCCTTTGGTCTGCTGAGGCGCCAACAAACAACTGTGGCATTTGAAAAATCAACTTTGTGGATAAAAAATGGTTGTGCCCAGATCGGAGCAGGCAGAAATGTGTTGCTTGGTGTAAGGTGGTGGCACACATGGATTTGTGCCCAGCACCTGGGAGGTTTGGGCAGTGCTCTTGCTTGTGGTGTTGAGCTTCTGGAGGGATTCCTGTTTCCCAAGCTGAATTTGGGGAGCATTTCAGCAAAAGGCAGTCCAGGGTATCACTGTGAGCCGGGTTGATGCAGCCCCAGGCAGGTTGTGCCTGGCAATGCTCCCTGGTGCTGGTCACTGTGTAATGGAAAGGGTGTGCTTGTCCCAGTGTGTCCCCAGGCGCTGGAGCTGATTGCAGGAATCGACTGCATTGAGCGGGCCAGCGGATCCGGCACAGCACGTACGGCCCGGCGGGTTCACCTCTGCCCCCAGGCAGGAGCTGCTGCCTCTGCTGCGAGGACAGGGTGTCGTGGGGGGCTCTGCACCTGATCCCTCACCACATTGTTGCCCTGTGAAGGTCTCAGTGCCAGCAAGGTGGTTCCATCCCCAGTAACACATCCCATGGCACTAAATAAGAGGTGACCTGTGGCAGGAGATGGTTTGAGGAGTGTTCCTGCAGTGCCATCTCTTTGGGGTGCTTGGGATGTGCCACAGGGCTTCTCCACAATCCTGCCCACTCTCTGATGCAGCCCTATGAGGGGCTGGGGGCATCCAGCAGCCTGGCAGGGTTCCACTGGGTTCCCCCACCACAGGTTCACCTGCACTGAGGAGCCCACCCAGCTTGGGCCACCTCCCCAGTGTCCATGTCACCTCTCTCCCAGGCAAAGTTGAGTGTAGGTCTTTGACCCTGCAGCTGAACCCTCCAGAAGGGACCAAAACAGCTCCCCCTTCCCAAGTGGCAGCTGTTCCTTCATAAGGTTTGGCCAGCAAAACCCATCTGTGACCGTAGATGGCTCCATGTCCCAGTGGATACGTTGGGAAAGTTGCTCCTCAGGACATCTGCCCCTAGCGAGTGCCTTCCCGGGGCCTTCTCCAACCAGCTGCACGTTGGCTGTGTCCTCTCCCATCCTTGGGCAGGAGGACAGAGGTTAAATCCACATCTCCCTGTGCTTTCCCTTGACCCCAGAAGAGCCGGTGCTGGGAGGTCAGGCGCTGGGCTGGGCATTGATCCATCTGGCAGGGGCAATGTGAACCGAAGGAGCTGCTTCCGGATGTACCTTTATTGATATCGGTGTCCTGAGGAGAGCAGCTCTGCCTCTCTGCTTGCCTCTCCAGCTGCAGAGTTCATGAGAAAATGGAGCTGGAGAAATTCCAGTGCTACCCAAGGTTTTTCATCCACTGGAGTCGTTGAGGGTTCCACAAATGCTGCATCACTCCAGCAAGGTTTCCTCACTCAGTTTGTACTACGAAAGAACAAAATCTAAGACATTCTTCCTTCCTCCTCTGTGTTTTTTGGGAGCAGCCTGTCCATAGAAGGAAGAGTTAGGGCAGTGGAGGGGTTGTCACTCAACATGTACCCCATCAGGCCCATGGCCAAAGAGCCCCTTGGGTCCCACTGCCATGAGAGGTAACGGCCGTGTCTTTGTTTTCTCATTGCAGAGCCTCTCACAGGATCAGCGTGGTGACGTGGCAGCCAAGACGAGGAATTTTGGGACTTCCCTTCCACCGCAACAGAATCTGGGGGGTGGGCAGGGGTGGGTCAGGGGGACACTGGGAATCGCAGGACCCTTCACCTTCACTGTGGGCTTGGCTCAGGGATGACCACAGGCAGAGTCAACCCTTACAGCATCGTGTCCTCCGAGGAAGACGGGCTGAGGTTGACCACCATGCCAGGTATCAACGGCTTTGGCAACGGGAAAATCCACACCAGGAGGAAATGCAGAAACAGGTTTGTAAAGAAGAACGGTCAGTGCAACGTGGAGTTCACCAACATGGATGACAAACCACAGAGGTACATTGCAGACATGTTCACCACGTGCGTTGACATCCGCTGGAGGTATATGCTCTTGCTCTTTTCCCTGGCGTTTCTGGTGTCCTGGTTATTGTTTGGGCTGATTTTCTGGTTAATTGCACTCATTCATGGAGACCTAGAAAACCCGGGTGGAGACGATACCTTCAAGCCTTGCGTTCTGCAGGTCAATGGCTTTGTGGCTGCTTTTCTGTTCTCCATTGAGACCCAAACGACTATTGGTTACGGCTTCCGCTGCGTGACGGAGGAGTGTCCGCTCGCGGTCTTCATGGTGGTGGTTCAGTCCATCGTGGGCTGTATAATTGACTCTTTCATGATTGGTGCAATAATGGCAAAAATGGCCAGGCCCAAAAAAAGGGCCCAGACATTACTTTTCAGCCATAATGCAGTAGTGGCAATGAGAGATGGAAAACTCTGCCTGATGTGGAGAGTTGGGAACCTCCGTAAAAGCCACATAGTAGAAGCCCACGTACGAGCTCAGCTAATTAAGCCCAGGATCACAGAGGAAGGGGAATACATACCCCTCGACCAAATAGACATCGACGTGGGGTTTGATAAAGGCTTGGACCGTATTTTCTTGGTGTCCCCCATCACCATTCTCCACGAGATCAACGAAGACAGCCCCTTGTTTGGGATCAGCCGCCAGGACTTGGAGACAGATGACTTTGAGATCGTCGTCATCCTGGAAGGCATGGTAGAAGCCACAGCCATGACGACGCAAGCTCGGAGCTCCTACCTGGCCAGTGAGATCCTCTGGGGCCACCGCTTCGAGCCCGTCCTATTTGAGGAGAAAAACCAGTACAAAGTAGACTATTCCCACTTCCACAAAACCTATGAGGTCCCGTCCACGCCACGCTGCAGCGCCAAGGACTTGGTGGAGAACAAATTCCTGCTGCCCAGCACCAACTCCTTCTGCTACGAGAACGAGCTGGCCTTCATGAGCCGCGACGAGGAAGAGGAAGACGATGACAGCCGGGGTTTGGAGGACATCAGCCCTGACAACAGGCACGAGTTCGACAGGCTTCAAGCCACAATAGCGTTGGATCAACGGTCGTACAGGAGGGAGTCGGAAATATGACTCTTGGTCCTTCCGCTGACTTTTCCAAGGGTATTTTTTTTCCTTCCTCTAATCTCTTCCCCTAAAACCCGCTCAAAATTATGCAGAACAATGCAAGTGCCATAGGAATGCTTGAGAAATTAGTCTCGTTCATAGTTTTCAGTTTCATCGCAATAACCACTGAGCGGTCTGCAGGAGGGGACGGTGGCAGCCCACGGCGCGTGTCCCGGCGCCCGCGCCCGCGGCGGGGCCGGCGGCTGCGGGGGGCGGACAGACGGACGGATGGATGGACAGATGAAGAGAGGAGGTTCCGTGGGGCGCGAGCAGGCGCTGGCCCCACACGGCCCCGCGGGGCTTTGCTCCCCCCCGCGGGGGAAAACGCCAGCCTTGTCTTGGAGCTGAGCACTGCGAGATCCAAAAAAGAGGAAATATCAGGAAACGAATCTTACTCTCTCTTTCTCTTTCTAGTTTTTTTTTTTTTTTCCTTTTATTTTTTAACTGAGCAGCAACAACAAAAAAAAATTGCTCCTTCGGCAGGTGGTCTGGTTCAGTTGCACAAGAACAACACTTGAAATAACATGCAACGTTAACGTACTTCTTTTTAATTTGGGGAAAAAACGGGGGAGGGAGGTGAGAGGGTTTTTAATTTTTTCACCGAACCGTTTGGGAGACTGTTTACCAAAATAATAATAATAATAATTATTATAATTATAACAATAATAATAATAATAATATTAAATCTGAAAGAAGTCATTCAGTATTTTTTAAAAATGAACAAGGGAATGAAGAAGCCACTGGGGTCCTTTGAGGGGGTGACTTGTTGGGCAGATGCAAGAGCTAGAAGTCAAGACTGCACCCAATTTTGAGGTGTTTGTTTTCCACTGGCATGGTTTCATAGGCAGAAAACAGATGTAAGTGACTGGAGGTCTGTGGCAGTGAAAGCAAGTAGAGGAATTACTGGCAAAGGAGGTAATAAGGATAAGAAGGACTGTGATAGAAAAAAGCATTGTAAACACAGTAATTAGCCAATATCTGGAAATACTGATTTTCAGGGTGGAAATGGGGTCTGGAACATCAGCTGCTGAGTGTTGGGACTCCCCCAAAATCTCTGATGGGGAATTCATAAATTCCATCATGACTGGGACAAAATAATGAGAAGCACAAAAAGGAGAGTGGAAAGCTGTCCAAATTGGGTATTTTCCCACCTTTCCAACCAATTTGGTATTTTATTCCTTGAAGAATATTTTTAAACATGGAAACCAATGTGAAAGTCATGTCGTAGGGTTGCACTTCTTCTAACACGGGAGCCACCTCTGTACCGGGGCTGGGATTTATGAATTCCCTATTCACCAGAAGGTCCTGCTTCAGAGGCAGATGTTTTTCCCAAAACAAGAGATGCCAGTCGAGAAAATCACCCAGTCTTGAGCTTCAACCCACCCCTGTGTCCCAGCCTCAAGGTGGATTGTGCCTTAGAGATGCGAACTCATCCCGCACCCCCGCCCTCCTCCACAGCACCCCTTTTGCACCCCCTCACTGGGGCACGTTTCCTTTGCTCTGCAGCACCCACATCCCCTCATCCACTGTGTTTTAGGCTGGCCTTGGTGACAAGCTGGCTTAGCTTTTGCTCCAGCACAGGGCAAACCAGCCCATGCATGGGAAGCCTTCGCTCCTGCCCTGCTCCCCATTGTTGCACAGAGGGAAGGAGTCGGGAAGATGCAGGTTGTGGGTCCCTTCATCCATCCATGCTGCTCATTGGTGCTCTGGGAGCCAAAATCCAGCTCCCTGCTCCCTGTGGCCATGGGAAAAGCTTTGTAGCCGTGTGCATCCCACATCCAACCCTGGGCATGGAGCCCTGGCAGCACCCATGCTTGGGGAGAAGGGCTCGAGAGCGGGGTCCTCTGCCGTGTTTGGGCTGTGACGGGCTCCCGGTGCTTTCCTCCCCCCAGCCCACGTCAGTGAAGCCATGTCCTGGAGCCATAACTTGCTGTGGTGTGTCCAAACACGGGTGGCAGAGGCAGGATTTGTTCTGTGTCCCCATCCCCATCTCCTTCTTGCCAAGGGCTCTAGGGATGGGATACTCCAGGGTGTCCCCCTGCCCCGTGCCACCGAGCACCCTGTTGGGCACTGGGACTTCATCCCTGCGGAGATTCTTCCCACCAGTGTCCATCACTGTCACCCCATGCTGCCAACCAAGGGGCTGCATCATTTTTGGCTGCCCCTAAAAACTGGCCACTGGGAGAAAACATCCCCAGGGGCAGTGCTGGGAGGCAGCTTTTTCAGCACTGAGTGCCCTGGATGGGTTGTCCCCAAAAGTGGGGACACGTAGGGATGTGCCACTGAGCTCCAACCATGGCATTTATGTTTCTGAGGCAGCGAAGGTGGATGCCATCCCATCACCAGTCCCTTTGCTCCCAGGGGGGAGAGGTTTGCCCCTCACTTTTTGCACCATAGCATCTGGGGGGTTGGGAAGGATGCGGGGGGGGAGGGGCAGAGAGATTTTGTGTGAGCACTACTTATTTATTTTTTTAAAAAAATGCTTTTAAGTGGTTTTAGGTTCTTTTGAATAAATAATAATTATTACAAAAAAAACAAAAACAAAAACAAAAAAAGGTGCACATCTTGCTGCTGTAGAGTTCTCAGAGGGTTAATTTCTTTATATATATATATATATATCACAGTAAATATTTGTATAAAAACAAAAGAGAAATAGAGATGTCTTTAAGTAAATTATTGCTTTTAAAGAAACTTCTATGATTGTACAGTGTTACCTGGGAGAATAGAATAATATATACAGATGTATTTTTAAACTGCTGTGTGGGAGGATGTGAACTGGGATGGGGAGTGCCCGAGGCTGAAAGGGTGAGGGGGTTTTGGACCCTCCCCGGACCCTGTTCACTCACTCCCTGCCCCAAACCCTGCTAGTGAGGGTCTAGCTCTGGTGAGACGTCGTAAATATACTGTATAGTCCTTGTCCTGGCCATGGACCACGCTGGTACATAGTGTATTAATATTATTTTTGCCTACCTGTGAGTGCTCTGAGCTACTGGTCTTTTTTCCTACCATCAGGGAGCATCAGGAAGGCTGCCCAGCCATAGTTTCAATCCCATAAATTGTCAAAGAAAGTGGTAAAAAAGAAAAACAAGGTGAAGGAAGCACTTCCCTTCCCTGGAGGGGCTGGGAAGGCACAGGGCTGCTCTCGGCGTGGGGTTTTGGTGTTGGTCACAGCACGGATGAGCAGCATCCCTGTGGGAAGGGGTTTGGAGTCGAGCGAGGGGAAATGTCCCCCCCAAAACAGCCGCCGGCCATTTCCTTCAGCGAACCGGCTCCATCCTTGGAGTTAACTCCAGCATTACACTTGATCCTTGGAGGATGGCAGCAGCCCGAGAAAGGAGAGAGCCGCTAATCCTCTTGGCCAGCCTCCCGTAGGGTTTGCCCTCGGCCAGGGCTCGGGGCAGCTCCGGCGGCAGCAGCCACCCTGGTTGGGGACCAGGGGCTGGACCTGCTGCTGCTCCCACTTGGCTTCACCCCACAGAGATGCACCAGTGAGAGCAGGGAGCCACAGCCCTGCACCCCAAATCCACCTCTGGAAAGAGCATCCTGTGCCCTGCCAGGCGCAGGGTCCCCACTGGGCCGGGCAGGGGGTGCCTGGGGCTGGGGGCTGTCGGGACAAGCCTTAGCTTCTCACCACCCAGTTTAGTGCACTTAGTCTTTTCGGGCTGGGACAATCACTTAGCGCTCAACCTTTCGCGATTCGGTGCCTGCTTGACCTTCAAACCTTTTGTAGGAGATGATTTCAGAGCCACCTTTTCTATCTTTAATAAGGCAGAACAAATACGTTTATTTTTAAACCCTCCTGCTCTTTCCTTTCCTCTCGTGCTGACAACCAAAAGAATCCCCTCTGTGTGTTTCCCCCTCTCATTTCTTGCACACTGCAATGAGTGTGTGACAGCTGGGTGTGGCACTCCGGCCCCATCCCGCTCTCACCCCCCCCCCCCCCCAGTTAGAATGCCTTTGGCCACGGGGGGTTGGGCACAGGGGCAAAGGACCGGATTGCGTTAATGGCAGGGGTGGGATGTGGGGATGGTGCCCCCAGCCATATGCTGCCCCATGACCCCTTGTCCACCAGCTGTGCACAGTGTCCTGCCACCACACTCCCAGGGTGCCCATCTTTCCTCCATCCCCCCCAAACACACCCCAGTGCTCCCCCAGGCTTGGTCCCACGTGGTCTGGGGGCCGGGACCCGGAATTAGTTCACACAGGCAGGTTGGCAGCTGGGAGCACTGGTTTCCCAGGGGTAAAACACTGACTCTGTTCGCTGGGGCGATGGTGGTAGAGAAACCGAGGGATGCAATGAAGTATCTGTACCTTTTCCACCTTTGGTGTTTCTCTGTCTCATTGCACATATATTTGAGATATATGTGACAATGTATATATATATTTGTAAAATGTATTTCAGATGACAAAACTGGCTAATTTTATGTTATTTTAAATATATTATATATATTATATATAAGAGTCTCCAAAAGATATAAATAGACTAGAGAAAATAATATAAATATGTAATAAATGTATTTTGATCTATTTAAAATATCTCGCGTCGTGATGTGTATTTTAAAGATCCTAGGGAAGTGTCTGCCTGTAGCCAACTTCCAACGTGGTTCTAAGTCTGTCAGTTGTCACACATACAGGATGTATGTGGAGCAAACTTTGAGCAAGACTTTGAGCAAGACTGGGGCCAGCAGGACAAACAGAGATTTATTTTTTTTTTAAGAGCTTTTTAGCAAATATCCGTTCTGCTGCCTCCAGGTCAGAGCAGAAGCCACGCACCTGAATTTTCCTTGTTGTCCTGCAGGAAAGATGATTTTCCTCCCTGCATGGGAAGGGGCTGCAGGGATGTTTGGCAGCACGGGGGGCTCTGCAGGGTCCCCCCTTCCCGCATGGCCTCATCCATGAGTACCACTTGCTCCACTGCACTTCCTGATGGGATTTATCCAGGGGACAAGATCAGCTCAGCCATGCAGGGAGCCCGGAGATGGGAAAATGACCAGGCAGAACGAGCCCAGTCACCTGAGACTGACCCAACAAATCTTCCTGGAGCGACCTTGGTCCCCCTTGGGCTCCAGGAGGATTTGTTTCCTACGGGCATTGCCTCCTGTGGGGACCTCAGGGGACATCACGTCGTGTCCAAGTGACAGTTTAAATGTCTTTAATGGTACGTCACGG